AGGCAGAGAAAGCTATCTTGGGAAATGGGAGCTGTGGATGGATGGAGCTCAGAGGGCTGGGAGAGAAGTCATCGCTCAGGGGAGCAAGCTCTGGACAGATTTCTTCCAGCTCCTGATCATTGTCTCTGGAAGATGGGGCGGGTTGGTGTGTGGTGGGGGCAGAGAATAGACTAGGGAGGACATCTGGGTAACCTCACGTCCATAGTAAAATCTAGGAGGAAGACAAGATATAGAAACTGAATACTCACATGCAAGGATGGAGAGAAAAGCAGATAGGATAGAGGCAGAGAGGGCAAGGGACAAAGAGCCAAGCGGCATCTAGGATAGCAGAGAGAGGAGTGCTGGGATGGTAAATGAATTGGTCAAGGGCTAGAAGCAGGGAAACTGAGTCCAGAGGGACAACTGGCTGGGTGCTCAGAAAAGGCAGACAGACCGGGGAGCTAGAGACGTGGAGAGATAGATCAGGAAACAGGAAGGCACTCAGGCCAGCGCTTGGGGAAGATGGTCAGAAGGAGCAGTAGAAGGCTGGCCAGAGGAAGCTGGTGGAGGGAACTTAGGTGTCCTGTTTATGGCCCATCCACTTTCAGCTCAGGGAAGTTCCAAGAGCTTACACACTCCAGCTAGGGCTGGTAGCATGCGATTGGAAGCCAAGATAGAGAGGTGTTAGGGTTTTGACAGGATCGAGGCCCCATGGGCAAGAACCTCGCGTAGAAACTGAGGTTATCTAGAGATGGCTCTTCTACCATCAGGATACTTCTTGGCCCGGCGCCAATCCTCTCTGTGATTGGGCCCCCAGGCTCTCAACTCTTGTATATATATCCTCCTTTCAGGCCAGTCCATGGAGAGGGAGCAGTGGCCAGCCAGTGGGACCTTGTGGCTAAACAGCCGTGCCGTCTCCATGGAAGAAGCTGTGGGCTGTGCTGCCACCAGAATTCTGTCACTTAGGAGCTAGTGGCTGACTCCACCACCAATGCCCGGGCCAGGGACTGTCTCCGGGGCAACGACGTGCTCTTCTCAGCAATGGGGCTTGACCCAGGCTGTGCAGGTGGCCCAGTCCTGGCAGCCTGGCCTGTCCATTCTCGGCAGAGTTGTCCTTTGAACCTCAACGACATTCACACACACACCTTCTTTGTCACTCCCTGCCCCCCCATCCAACCACTTCATCAGCTCAGGAGGCAAACAGCCTCCTCCCAAGCTAGGCTAGACTCACTGTCCAGTAGCACACGTCTGTGTCCACGTGATGAAATACAAACCTATCGTCCTGCTTTATCCAGGGAGCGTCATTCATCCCCTGAGCCCACACCGGGTATTCCACAAGGACTGATTGTATCGTACACGGGGTTCCGTCTGGTTCAAATCACTGCCTTTTGCTGGCTGTGCACACTTAGCCAAGCCACTTTCCCTCTCTGAGCTCCAGTTCCTTCATCCTCCACAGGGGCCAACAATAATTACCTCATGTGGCTTCTGTAGAGGCTCCAAGGAGAAACTATATAAAAAGATCCGAGATGCCGGGCGGTGGTGGCACACGCCTTTAATCCCAGCACTCGGGAGGCAGAGGCAGATGGATCTCTGTGAGACACATGTATGAAATTCTAAAAAGAAAAAAAAAAGAAAGAAAATTTGATCTGGGACAAAATGGGGATGTTTGATCATGTTTGCCTTTCTCCTGCCCTTTGCCCCTCCTTTTGCTGATCTCAGTGAACTTTGGGAATGCTAAGAGGGAAGGAAGCAGGAATCCACCCTCAGGCAACTGGAGACCTGCGAGTGAGGCTAAGCTTCAGAGAGACTGTGGTATTGCTGGGCAGACACGAGTGAGCGACACAGACCCGGGTTCCCTCACACAGCCTGGGCCTCATTTACCCTCTCAACTCAAGCGTGCACCCAAAACTGGCTGAGTTGGCAGGAACTAATTCCAGCATCTTTTTTGGCCTGAAAAAGGAAGATGCTGGGCACTTCTACATTCCCTGTATCTGCCTTTCCCTTATCACTAGGGAGACAGGAGTCTTGTACTCAGCCCACCTCAGGTTCCTCTCTCTCTCTCTCCCCACAGCCATGTCCCAAGAGACCATGACTAGGCCCAACCTGTCTTGCTTGACTCTTGTATCTCCTCAGTTAGTTTGAGTTTCAACACCAGAGATGGGACATAGGACCTCTCTCACACCAGGCACTCACTCTATTGCCGAGCTATATTCCTGGTCCTTTTTACTTTTTATTTCGAGACAGGGCTTCACTAAATTGCTGGCGCTAGACTTGAACTCAGTTTGTAGTGCAGGCAGGTCATGAATTTACAGTCCTCCTGCATTGGTCCGGAGCTGCTGGATTTACAGGCCCGTGCCACCATGCCTTGTTCAACCAGACCTTTCTACTTACTGCACGGTGCACAGATCAGCAGGTTTGTAGAAATGCAGATTTTCATTCCAGGGATACCATCTACCTCTATGTACTCAACCAGAAACGGCCCTTTACAAAGGGGATCTGGGTACAAAACGACATCTGGGAAGCACTAATCTTGAAGACCTCCGCAAGCTGGTTCCGCTTCTCTGAGCTTCTGTCTCCTCATCTGCTGAATGAGGAGATAGCAATACCACCCTCGAGGTAGTTGTGAGGGTTCAATTGGACTAAGCACAGAACCTAACATGCTTGGGGTACTTTGAATGATTGAAGGTGTCTGTGATGCCCGCCCCGTGAGGTCCCCGTGATGCTCCACAGGAACATGCTGTGATGGAGGGCACAGGTGGAGACAGAAGTGATACATATGGGGACAAGGATGGGAACCCAGAAGTTGGGGAGGGACAGATGAGGAACGGAAAGGCAGAAGACACTGAGAGGAAGGGGCTGAGGACCGGAGTTGAAGAGAAAGAGAAAGTAAAGGGAGGTTCCGTATGAGGCACATCCCTTTTCCTTCCATCCTGAGGTAGCAGCTGGGTGGTCTGAGGTGGGGGAATGAAAGCAATGCATTATGGGAGTGGCTGGAGCTTTGCATCCCCATGGGTTCCATCCTAGCACTAGCTGTGTGGCCTCATTAGAGTCACTTCACCTCTCTGAGCGTCAGTTCCATTCTCTGTAACCAAGGTCATCAAACACGTCTAAAATCAGAGGCCCTGGGTGGACGACAGGGCCTAGCAGCAGATGTTTTCATGTTTTGTAAATGTCAAGGTGCCTGTTGTGCGTATTTTGTTGTCTCAGAAATCAGTTTGGGTGAAGGAAGTACCAGGGCAGGGATGGGGTGGATGGGGGTGGGAAATTGCTGGAGCTGCAGATAGTTAACTCACTAGATGAGGGAGGACAGAACTCCACCCCTCAACATGTCCCTGGAGGGCCCCTCGGATTGCTTCAGAAGGCCACCTCCCAGCTCTCAGCCCAGCCTCTTCCTTCAGTCTCTCCTGCTGCTGTCGAGCCTGAGATTTCCCTCCATGCCACTTCATGCCCCATCCCAGCTCTTACCGTGTGAACACGTGCGTTCCCAGTAAAGGGGTGGGGGGAGTGTTGAAACACATTGACCCCTTGCCTCCAGAGAAGGTGCTGCCTGTGATGGGTTTGACCCAGGGGCACGTCTCTGTGGGGTGAGCCTGACAGGGGGGAACCAGAATCCATCTCTTTTTCAGTGGCTCTCCCATTCCGGCTGCTCAGTGACTCCAGGCAGCCACTAAAACCCCCAGGCTAAGCCTGTGCCTTCATCTTTGGGTCACTAGCGCCATCTGGTGTTTTTGGGAAGAATGCTCATCGAGGAGACACGAGCTGGGCTTTGGCTAGGAACCATTTATGAAAGCCCCACAATGGGACGAGCATAGGGGACGCCAGGCAGGTTCCTTCGTTTGTATAACCTGCTCTCTAGTGGAGGACATGGTCAGTGGACAGAGAAATGAGAGGACGAGCAAGGTCTCAGGTCTTGATTCATGTGCTGAACAATTTAACAGAGTGAGCATGGGTGTGAGGTGAGCAGGGTGCAGGCCAGCTGGTTCTGCCACTCCTGGAGAGGGCTGAGGTGAACAGGAGTAACCGATGCTTGAGTTTGTCTCTGTTCCAAGAGTGGAGAGGCAGAAGAGGGCCAGGGTCATGCTGAAGGGCAACTTCAAGGCTAGGGAAAGAGTCTGACTTCATTCTCTAGAAACTGAGAAGCTATCAATCGTTTAGTTTGAAAATAAGTTTTTACTGAGGCTGGGGGATGGCTCAGTGGATGAAGGACTTGCCATACAAGCATGAGGGTGCTGATCTCCAGCATTCAAGTAAAAAGCTGGGCACTGGGATATGTGATTCCCCACAGTGCTGGGGTGGCAGAGACGAGAGGATCATTGAAGTCCGCTGGCCAGCCAGCCTAGCTAAATCAACGATCTCCGTGCTCAGTGAAAGGCTTTGTCTCCACAATAAGGTAGGTGGAGGGTGATTGAGGAGGATACCTGACTTTAATCTCTGGTCTCCACCCGAATGTACACGCTGGGTACAAATGCACACTCGCACAAAGAATAAAACAAGTTTTATTGTGTGTCCCTGAGGCTTATAGCATGATGTGCAAGCTACAGATAAAATCTGGCAGGGGCACTTGGTTGGCTTGTGTGCTTTGACTGCTGTGTGGAGAACGGATGGAAGGGATGGATGAAGGGGAGCCAAGAAGGTGGAGTTCATGTTGAATTTGCTATGGGAGTGGAAAAGATGCAGATTTTTAGAGATCCTAACTAATAAAAAAAACTAGGTAGTGATAGGAGGACCCTTTACTCAGTGATAAGGGCAAGGCTTAGGGGGAACAGCAAGAGTCTGAGCCTGACATGGAGGTGCACACCTGTATTCCCAGGGCTTGTGTAGTTAGAGCAAGAGGCTCGCGAACTCAAGGCCAGCTACATGGGGAGCTCTTGTTCACCCCGTGCAACAACTCTTGGGTAGGGAAATTCCTGGGGTGCTGCAAGGCCTTGGAGAGGAGCAAATCCAGCTTGAACTACACACAGTGAGACCTCCAAAATACAAAAAGCAAGGTTCCCTTACTGATACGTTCTGTCTCCCTTCAGGTCTACACTCGCTATGGGAAGTGTTACACCTTCAATGCGGATCCTCAGAGCTCACTGCCCAGCCGGGCAGGTGGCATGGGTAGTGGCCTGGAGATCATGCTAGACATCCAGCAGGAGGAATACCTACCCATATGGAGGGAGACAAGTACGCAGGCGGGGAAGGGATAAGGGCCAACTTAGAGGTGGAGCCTGGGTCTGGCTCTCGGCCTGGAGTAGGTTCTGAAGAGGTCTCCTCATCTCTGCTGTGCAGATGAGACGTCATTCGAGGCAGGTATCCGGGTGCAGATCCACAGCCAGGAGGAGCCTCCCTACATCCATCAGCTGGGGTTTGGTGTGTCCCCAGGCTTCCAGACTTTTGTGTCTTGCCAGGAACAGCGGGTGAGCATCCCCAGCTAGGCCTAGCCTGGGCACAGGGCAAATCTCTTTTTGAAGGGATGCTGGCCAGATCTGCCTGGCAGACACCCAGTCTGCCAGCCCCTTGACCCCTGCCGAGGCTATTGACACTGGAGGACTGGCCTTGACTGACACGCTTGGCCTTGACCTTGTCATGCCCCATCTCTGCAGCTAACTTATCTGCCCCAGCCTTGGGGCAACTGCCGGGCGGAAAGCGAGCTCAGGGAGCCTGAGCTGCAGGGCTACTCAGCCTATAGTGTGTCTGCCTGCCGACTGCGCTGTGAAAAGGAGGCCGTGCTGCAGCGCTGCCACTGCCGGATGGTGCACATGCCAGGTGGGCACCTCCAGCCCGTCTTTGGTGCCACTCTTCTGGGCTCTTGAACTTCCAGGAGCCGAAACATGTGTACAATATGTACATATGTCTACACTCATAAGCATGTGCTCAGGTGTATGCCTGGATATTGATGCATATTTTGATGTGTTTGGAAATGCATGAATATACATGCTTGTGTGCATGCTAGTATATATGTGTGTGTCTTGGGGTTATGTGCATGAACTTAAGAGTGTACACATGGTTGTATAAGCAAGTATAGGATTAGATGCATGTGTTATACAATGAAAAAACATTTTCATTTTTTATGTATGAGTGTGTAGACATTGATCTGTTATGTACACGTGCAAACATGCATATATGTGGATGCCCACGTGGGTGTGTGGTAAAGGAGTAAGAAAAGGACTGTGGATCTCAGAAATACTCTTCTCTCCTTTCAGGCAATGAGACCATCTGCCCGCCAAATATCTACATTGAATGTGCCGATCACACACTGGGTGTGTGCTGCCTTCCCCCTTCCGTGTCTCTCACCACTCTTCACCCCTCCGTGTGCCCTTCTCTTCTGTGTCCTCTTGCCTCTCCTTCCAACATGTCTGGGGGGTCAGGTCTTGCTGAGGTTGAGCTGTATCTCACACCTCACGGGGTGGGGCGGGTCTAAGGACTTCTGCAGGTCCAGACACTTGGGTAAGTGGTAAGAGACCATGGGGAGATGTTGCAGATAATCCAAGACTGCGAGTGAAGGGCTGGGCTTCCCATCTCAGTTCTGCCGATGAACTCTCTCTCTCTCTCCATCCCTCTCTCTCTGAGAAAGTGAAATGACCTCTCTCACCCTAGGAAAAATACATTGCTGGATGCCAGTACGGGTAAAACAAACTCCATCTCTCCGCAGGCCTCACCTAATCTGTAGCTTGTTCATCCACCCATCCACCCACCCATATACCGACCCACCCACCCATCTAACAATCGACTGATTGATTCATTCTCTAGACCTAGTCAACGTGTTCTGAGAGTTGAAAGTGAGGGACCAAGAGCCCTGCCCATGATCACTTACTGAGGACAGATGCTAACCGTCTAACAGTTCTTGAATAGTGGTATCTCAAGGGTGGTATAAGGGCCTGGGGAGAGACACGTAGCCCCAGTCTGGAAAGGCAGGGAGGATTCTACATGGAAAGCTACATATCAGCAGAGATTTGAAGGGTTGGTTCTACTTAGTAGGGATAACATGTCCCATGTCCCATATACCTTGTGACTAGAGAAAGCATGATTTGTCTAGGGCACCCAAAGATCAGCATGGCTGGAGACAGAGGTCAAGGGAGGGAGCAGAAAGTAGAAGAGGGGGGTTCTGGGAAGCCAACAAGGCCTTAAGGCAAGGCAGAAAGGTCAGTGGGTGGGATGCAGAGTGGACCAGCTAGGGGCTCGCTGCAGAAATCTGGATGTGATGGGCCTCTGCGGATGCACTTGAGATGCTGGGGTAGCAGACTGGCATACCACGAGCTCCTCTATGCCCCCGTACCACCGGCACCTGTCAAGTGCGTGAGTGAAGAAAGTTAAACGAAGGAACAGATGTAGCAGCTGGAAAGGGAACCAACCACAGGTGCGGTGAGAGCTCCCAAGATTAGCAACACCAGGGGGCCTTCACTTTTGGACTTGAAGGAATGAAGGAAGGAAGCATCATGGAGCTGAGAGACAGACAGAAAGAGAGAGACAGAGAACACCTAGGACTGTTGGAGAGGAGTGGCTGGGGGCAGTGTGATACAAGAGGAAGAACGCAGCCCCTCCCTCTCTGTGGCTGGAAACTGGAGAAACAGTTGCCTCTGCCCTCTCACTTCCTGACCCGCCTGACCACAGGCTGGAGGGCAAAGGTGTCAAGGCAACGCATTCACAGGGATCAGCAGCCTCCTGGGGAGCATCCTAGCGTATCAAGTGTGAATCCTGTCTGTTCTGTCCATTCATCCATCCACCTATCTCTCTCCCTTCCATTCCAGCATCCTTCCCTTAACTCCTTGTGGGTCTGAGAGCTCATGTTGACTAATTCTGGCAGATACACTCTCACCTTCTGAGTCATGGGACCTCCTTGTCCCGGGGAGCTGGGGACAGAGGGAGAGATCTGTGGAGGTGCTGCTGTCATGGGTAAAGTCGGTCTGAGGGGGACCCCAGCCAGTATGCTTTAGAAGGTGGCGGATCTGGCCCTTTGAGTGAACTTGCTAGCTCAGGATAGACTCTGTGCCTGTCCCTACAGCCACTGGGCCTGGGGGTTACCCTCCTCACTGCAGCTGGTGTCTTTGTGTTGCAGATTCCCTGGGTGGAGGCTCTGAGGGCCCATGCTTCTGCCCCACCCCATGCAACCTGACCCGCTATGGCAAAGAGATCTCCATGGTCAAGATCCCCAACAGGGGCTCAGCCAGGTACCTGGCGAGGAAGTACAACCGCAATGAGACCTACATACGGTAAGACATGCCCACAGATGGACTTTGTGAGGAGGGCCCTTCAGCAGGCCTGAGACACGGCAGAGACTGAGATTAAGCCGCCTCTTTGTGTACATTGGGTCTCCTGCCAGGAACGCCAATCACAATCTTCCTAGCAGCCATCCTTCAGATTACATCCTGGTCCACTTCCAGGAAACCCCTTCCCAGTCCACGTCTGAGCTGCCACCGCTCCTTGCACACACCCCCGCCACTGCATTGTGTTAGACCCATTTATGTCTTTCTCCTCAGGCCAGCCTGGGCTACCTGAAACCCTTTCTTTCTCAGAAAAACAAAGCAGATCGACCATAACAAAACCACAGAGCTAACACAGCTGAACCTAGTTCCCTTTGGGAGTCGGAGGTCACCAGCTCCCCAGCACATCAGGATCAGCTAGCCAGACTCAGGAGGATGCCCCTGCCAGTTGTCTCCTCAAGTTCAGCAGTCTCACACAGGTGTCATTTCATGTCCCCTAGGGAAAACTTCCTGGTCCTGGATGTCTTTTTTGAGGCCCTAACTTCTGAAGCCATGGAGCAGCGAGCAGCCTACGGCCTGTCAGCCCTGCTGGGTAAGCCCTGACCCTTGCCCCAACTCATGTGTGGGCCAGCCCAGGCTGTTCCCACTGACCCTGCCCTCTTGCTCTTCAGGGGACCTTGGGGGACAGATGGGCCTGTTCATTGGGGCGAGCATCCTCACCTTACTGGAGATCCTTGACTACATCTATGAGGTAAGGACACGGAGGAAAGGCCAAGTGAGTGGATACGGCTCCTGGGTGGGTTGGTCTGGCTGGGGAGTGGGCTAAAGAGTTCTAGAAGTACCTGGGGGTCTGGCTCTGAAGAGGTTGGACCTTCTGGGGCATGGGGATTCCTAGAAAAGAGGTTGCCAGGCACCAAGTCCTATAACTGAGACCTTTCTATACCCCAACCTTGACCTGCAAGGTCTCCTGGGATCGACTCAAGAGGGTGTGGCGACGGCCCAAGACCCCACTGAGGACATCCACTGGGGGCATCTCCACTTTAGGGTTGCAGGAGCTGAAGGAACAGGTGAGTCACCTGCTCTCCTCCCAACCTGGAGAGCACTCTCTCTCCAGGGCCACTTCCTGAAAGTTTCCAAGGCAACCCAGAGAAGAAAAAGTCATGGTTGAGACTTGAGTACATGACTTGACCACTGTCCCATCCCCTTTTCCTTTTACAGAGTCCCTGTCCAGGCCGGGGGCGTGCTGAGGGTGGGGGGGCTAGCAGCCTGCTTCCTAACCATCACCACCCTCACGGCCCCCCGGGAAGCCTCTTTGAAGACTTTGCTTGCTAGGATGGTGCTGTGTGGGGAAGGAAGTATCCATGAGTCTGGGATCCTAACCAGGCCCTACACATCTCCTGCTCCCAAGACAGAAGGCCTGGGGCAGCCCAGGGCTCAGGGTAGGGGTGGTGCTCACTGAGAGGCCAGGACTGGGATCCTGCTCTCCCCGACCCAGGCTCGGCTGCCTTGCACAAGGGTCCTTCTTGTCCACACTCCCTGCTCCCAGGCGGGTGTCCAGGAAGGACTGAAGACCAGACTAGAGGTCCCTGAGGAGGGGAGGGAGGAAGAGAAAGACGGGGGAGATGGAACCCTGGCAGGGCCCCTCTGTACATTTGTATATATTTAGGGACTGGGTGGGGGTGGGACACAGACACAGAAGGGTGGGGCTGCAGGGGAGGGTGATGCAGGATAGTCAGGGTCCCAGCCCTAGTGACAGAGGCAACTCCTTGGGACCTAGGCATGTTGGGCTGGTTCCTCTCCCCTCTCTCCAGGCCCAGCTCCCCTCTTGGCAGGGGGAGTGGGTGGCCCAGCAGGCCTGGCCCAGCTCCCAGTTCCCCCTGTACCAGCCCCACCTCGAGTTCCCTCCATGGGGAGTGGGCGGAAGACCTTTCTGACCTTGGCTGAGCTTACCGGGAAGGGGAGTGGCCTTCTCAGTCCTTGCTCCCTAAAGACTGGTTTTATAAAGTGCAGGCAAGACTGGGAATAAAAGTCACAAAGAAATTCTGTGTCTGTGCGTCTGTCTGCTTGTGGGTGGGTGGGTGAGAGAGAGAGCTGGCATACACTTGCTGGGGGCTGGGCATCTGTGTGACTTGGTCCCTGTAAAAGGAAATGAAGGCACCCACAGGAACAGGGCTCCTCCATCCTTTGAGTCACCTCTGAATTACCAGTCTACACTCATTAGTCCACATGTAGCCAGTTTATTAAAGCCAGGGCTTCATCACGGATCCAGAAGGGACAAGGTGGAGCTACCATACCCCTCCTTTCTCTGCTCTTTCCTTCTCCAACAACTCATCTACAGCCCAGCCCCCCGGACAAGATCCCAGGAACTATGGCTGGCGTTAGGCATAAATACATAGAGGCCATAGCCTGAATCAGCAGCGTCAAGGGGGCAGGGAGACTGGACAAGAAAGGATGGCTCTAGGGCACCTCTCTCAGGGCTTGTCCTGAGCCCATGGGCCCACAAAGCAAAAGACAAGAGACCAGTGGGCTGCCCTAGGGTCTGAGGCTACAGCCAGCCCTGTCCAGCGAGGCTGGCGTGTGGCTCCAGGTTGTCAGGGAAGAGCAGGGAACAGGTGTAGGGGCTTAGGTGCTGTTGCCCTGTTCCTGCTCAAAGAGTAGCATGGCAAGCTGGGTGCGGGAGCCAAGGCCCTCGAGCACGCTCTGGCGGCAGCGGTGGTACAGATCCTCACTCAGCCGGGCGCTACACGGCTGGGCCCGGTAGCGCTGCAGCAGGGCCGGTTCCACTGCCCGCAGCACATGCAAGCTGGAGAAGCGCAGGAACAGCTCATACACATCCAGGCTCTCTAGCAGCTCCTCCTCCTGCTCTGAGGCTGCCGCTAGCCGTCCACGGGCTGCCACATAGTCGGAGTTGTAAAAGCACGCCTCACTGGCAGCCTGGCGGTCAAAGTGGCCAGTATCCCGGCCCAGTTCGGGTGGCCCAGGCCCCTGGGGTGGAGCCACGGCAGGGTGGAAGGCCTGGAAGTGCATGGGAAAGAAGGCCTGCCAGCCAGAGATGGCATGCATGCGACAGCGGTTCAGGAAGTCAGATGTGAGCACTGTGTCTGGCCCGGCCAGCAGGAACAGAGTGTCTAGTGGGTGCTTCTTGGAGAGCAGATCCATGAGACGCAGGGGAGAGGGGGCAGCTGTCTGCACGCTGAGCCAGGGCACTCGGGCACCGGGAAAACGCCGCTCTAGCTCTGCTACGTGGGCCTTGACAGGTGCGAAGACATCCGCATGGGCTGCCCGCTGGGCCTGGCGGGGCTCGTACAGCAGCAGCAGAGTCAAGGACGCTGCATCACCGGGCTCCAGCGCTGCAGTGGCAAAAGCGTCTAGGAAGCCAGAAGCCAGGTCACGCTCGGCTGCAGCGAGCGGCAGTAGCACAGTGAGCCGAGACGCCTCAGTGACATAGGGCACTGGCAAGATCTCCACTCGGCTCAGGGGGCGGAGGAGCTGCACCCTTCTGGTAAGGGGCCAGCGGCCACCCTGGGGTGTCAGTGCTTCCAGCTGCAAGTCTAGTGTGTACTCCATGCCTCGGGCTGGATCAAAACGCCGGTAGCCGTTCACCAGCTGCTGCTTCCGGAGCCGCAGTGCTGGCTGATAACGGCGGTTGAGCTCCTCTAAGGCTGTCCCCAGGACATCAGCCACGTCAGCTTGGTCAGCCCCACGCAGTGGACAGCGGGGCGAGCCATCGGCACAGGAGAAAGCATACTGTTCCGTGAAGTAGTCCCAGCGCAGAACCTCAAAGCGTGAGGCAGGGCGAGATGGTGCTGGAACGCCCACTGGCCAGGCAGAAGCCCGTTCCCCATCCGCAGCCAGTCTGCTTGTGTTTTGGATCTCCCACTGGGCCAGAAAAATAGGTCATGAGCAAATGATGGAGCCATATAGTCAGAATCCACCTAGAGGCTATGTGGGCACTCAGTGATACTCAGGGAGGAGCCACAGTCTACTGCAAACCTCTGTTCACCCCAGGGCCCCACACAGTCTCTCCACAGGTTGAGGCAGCTTTAAAGTTAAAAGTGGAATTTCCTGGGGGTTCCACAGAGGCCAAAGACCCGGGATTTTAGCACTGCCTTTTCATTTCCCACGATCTCTCAGAACCTGTTCCCCTTTACCCCCCCAATCCTCAAGCCCAGACCATACCTGCAATTCTCGAATTTCCTGGTACGTGCGGTCCAGCTCAGCCCGGGCAAACGCCTTGTGCAGCTGGTACATGTGCACAGGGTCATGCACAGGGTGGGCTGTCAAGGCATTGCGGAAGCGAGGGTCCCCCTCCTGCACAGGCTCCCCAGGGTTCAGCTCCAGATAGTTGTAGTACACTCCCTGGGGAAAGAAAGGGAAGGATCCGTACTGGGAACAACAACAGAACTGTCTCTCCTGTCTCTTAGCCAGTGTCTCATCTTCTAATCCTGTGACTGGTTATGGACTTGGGAGATTTTAAGTCTATTTGATCAGTCGATGCTGTACAACCCTGGACAAATCATTTTGGGCTCATCTGTGAAAACTGTCTCAGAGGTGTTCACAGAACTAAATAAAATAACTGATACTGAATACGTATAATATGCAAAGATCTCTTACTGTTTCCTAATCCCCGTATAGCCCTGCCTACTGAAGCCCAGAACTAGTAATTTACCTAGGACCAATGGGATTTTCAAAAACATTAGATTAACATGGAAACACAGATCTGTATCTCCACCACCCCATAGCTCTACTGAGAAGAGATATGCAAACCGAGAGGAGACACTACTGGAGAGGTTGTCTTCCTACCTCATGGTCACCAGTACAGCCCACGCCTGTGGCGTCAAGGATGCACCGTCCCAACCACTCATCTGGGCGAGCACTGACGATGTCATTGCGGCAACTTTCCAGGTGAGGGCGCAGTTGCTGTAGCAGGGTGCGAGACAGTAACACTCCAAAGCCCCCGTGGCAGTAGCGGCCTCGGGTGCTCTCTCCACCGATGAAGTCCTGGGGCCGACCAAGATAGAGATGGGTTGCCGAGGCTAGGCTGAGGTGGCCTGCTAGACGTTCCAGTCCATGCGCCTCAGTGTAGGTGGCATCAGGCACTAGGAAAAACCAGTCAAAGTCATCGCCGTGTTGCTCCAGCAGGTGGCGCAGCGCCAGGTGCAGGTGTCCGATGGGCCGCTCTTCGCCCAGTGTCACCACGACCATGCCTGATGGTGTCCGGCGGCCTCGCGCACCGGTCAGGAACACTACACGCTCCAATCGGTGTCCCAGAGTTCGGTTCACAGCCACGCCCAGTGTAGGCAACGTGGCCTGTGAGGTCAGCACTGCCACCAGCAGCTTCTGCCTGATGCCCAGCTCCGTGCTGATATACCGAGTTCTGAGAAAAAGACAGTTAACGAACAAGATAGCACACAGGCTCCGCTTGTTATTTCTTCTTTGGGCCTGTTTTGTACCCATGAATAGGATAAGAATAACATCTCTCCCACGAGGCATGAGAATTTAAATGAAATACTGGTCTTTGCACTAGAAGATAGCAATTTCCATGCAGGTAAGAGAAAGAGATATTAGATCGAATTCCAGATTTCACAGGCTAGAACTTGTGTCCCTGAGCACAATACTTAGTTTTAGCCACCTATAAAATGGGACCGATTGCACTTAAACAGCAAAATGCTTGGCACACCGTGCATACACTTTCTACTATAGGAAGACGCTGTCATCCTCCTAAGTATGTCCAATAAATGATGTGAAGGAATTTATGGCATAGTGGTATAGAGAATGTCTTTCCAGGAGGGGCAAACTAAGACAGTAACTCACCTTCCTAAAGTAGAGGGCAAGTTGTACAACTGGAATTCACTGTTTACTTAGGAGAAATTAACTTCAATTCGTGGGCAGAGACAGCAACGTGATGAGTACATTCCTCCCTCTCCCATCTCATCCCAAAGTGGCCCTGGAAACTCATCCGGGAATGAAATACAGGTAAATTCCAGGTCCCTCCTTTTTCTTTCCCCCTCTTTATACACTTATCCTCCTTAACACTAATTTCTCTAATCCTAAACAGACCACCTAGGAGCTAAGAGGGTGTCTGGGGAACTGTGGGTGCAGCCGGTTTAGCTCAGCTCAGATCCGGACATGATCCAGAAAAGGCTTCAAACTGGTCCCCTGGCTCCCTGGAAAGCAGGGTCATAGGAAGTAATCGAGGCCCAAGGACTTCCTGGCCAGCCAGCCCCTTCCTTCCGGAGCCTGACCCGGCCTCCGGTGGCCTCCCCAGCGCGCGCGTCTGGGCTGGTACCCGGGGGGTGGGGCGGATGGAGCGGATCAGTACCTGACGGCCTTCTTGGCGGCCTGACCGGGCTGTGCGGGATGGTAGGGCAAGACACGAGGCTCCCAGCTCTCACCGGCGCCTGCGCCGGCCCCGGCTCTCTCGCGCTCCGCTCCGGGCTGCACCGAGTTGGGCCGGCGCGCCGCGTTGGTGTTGCCGCGAGGCGGCAGCTCAGAGTCTCCGGGTTGGGGCGGCCCCGGGCCGCAAGGCTCCTCC